GAACACCTCCTTGTCAGAACACACATGACGAGTGGCACCAGTATCGATGTACCACTTCCTTGGGTTATCCACCAAATTGGCTTCAAACACCACCGCCGACATATCAAAGTCGGTCAATTCACCCGGCACAGGGCCATGTTCAGCAACAAGGGCACTCGGTTGCCCTGTATTTGGCCCAACTTTCTTTGGCCTCTTGCAGTCTTTCGCCATATGGTTTGGTTTTCCACAATTGTAACAAGTTCCGGTAAACTTCCAAACCTTGGCTGGCTGCTTTCCCTTGTTCTGGGTCTTCCTCTTGCTCGAGTTGCCTTGCTCCAGCAAGTTGACACGAGCTTCCATCATCGAGACTTTTCCTGATGACTTCTGGTTGTTCTCCTCGATACGAAGACGAACTATCAGATCTTCAAGACTCATCTCCTTTCTCTTGTGCTTGAGATAGTTCTTGAAGTCCTTCCAGCCTGACGGCAGCTTCTCGATCACAGCCGCTACTTGGAATGACTCGCTCAAGGTCATCCCTTCAGCATGGATATCGTGCAAGATTAGCTGGAACTCTTGCACTTGTGACACGACAGTCTTCGTGTCAACCATCTTGAAGTCAAGAAACTTGCCGACGACAAATTTCTTCGCCCCAGCATCCTCGGTCTTGTACTTCTTCTCCAGGGCAGCCCAAAGCTCCTTGGCAGATCCAACAGAGCTGTACACATTGTACAACTCATTACTAAGCCCGTTCAAGACATAGTTACGGCAAAGGTAGTCACCTTGCCCCCAAGCATCGTACGCAGCGCGTAGTTCTGCATTGGTCTCATTCTCAGAAATGACCGGAGGGTCGTCCTTTAGGTATTTCACCAAACCCAAAGTGTTCTGGTAAAATACATCTTTTGTTGCCACCTCTTGAAGTCAAGTCCGTTGAATTTTTTAGATTTTTCAGCAGTCGGGACCTGAACAGCAGGTACAGGTTGATATTGCTGAACAGAGTTGTTGATCAGCTGCTGAGAGCTGGAACCTTCTCCGGTGGAAGCCATCAGTTTGGTAGGACAACAATATTCTTCTTGCGATTGTCGGATTTTTGGTGTAAAATTACACGGGAATCCTATGAACTGATATGTATTTTCAGTTCTTACAAATAATCTAAAAATAGAAAATTACAATTGAACTGAATAATAAATTACTACTGAAAACACGGAAAGATTTTAGCCGAGGCGAGTAAAACTCTTTCCGCAAGAAGAATACGCCCCGTGTGGCAGCTAACAGTTCAGACGTAACTTCCCCAAAGATACAACGGCAAACGTCTCTAAATCTGTAGCACACCAGATTTACGAGCTCCAGCAAACGGGAACGGAGTCGAGAATTGAACACTTAAAAATAAAAGGAATATTTTAAAACAAATAAAAATCACTTGTTTCTCTCTTTTGATATTTTTATATCCGATATTTGGATATAAATTTATCTTTTCTTTCCTTTCTCTTTTCCTTTCTTTCCTTTTTTTTCCTCTATTTGGTGCATCTTCTCCCGTCCAAACTCCCTCTATTTATAGCAAAAGAGGGAATCTGAAATTTGGCCAATTGGCCTAACTTTTAATTAAAAATTATTATATATATATATATATATATATATATATATCTATATATTTATACAAGAGGGCAAATGATTGGGGCGGTGGGCATGTGGGATAATGGCACCGCCCCACTGCTACTTATTTTAGCAGCTTATTGGTCTACCAACCAAACATAGTCATAAGCAAAGTGTCGATGGATGAAAATAAAAAAATAAAATAAAAAAGTGCTATAAATAAAAATAAAAGTTAGAAACAACATATGTGTAAATAAAAATGATTTTTATTTCTCAATACCATTAAGGGAAAAATTTATAACTGCTCCTTTTTTAACAATGAATTTACAAAACAGTTGCAAGTCATACACAATACCCAATTTACTCCAAACATTAGACAAAAATAGGCAGGGAAAAAAATTATTATTTCAAAAATTAAACTAAGAACCAACCACTCTCTCTCATCTTATCTTTCCTCTCTTATTTTTCTTCTCCTTCTTCTTTTTCTCTTATTTAACTCTTCACGTTCTTCTTCTTCTTCTTCCCTTTTTTTCTTCTTTAATGTTTTTCTTTCTTCTTCTCTTTTCTTCATCTTCTTCAAATATAAATGCCTAAAAAAAAGTAATAAGAAAATGTACATACAAAATTTATTTCAAAGTGGATGAGCAACCATAAAAAAACAAAAAGCACATTTACTATGTCTGTGAATCATATATGTCAACTAGAAAAAAATAAGAAAAAAAAAATTACCAATTATTTGTGCAACAACACAAAAAAAAACAACATAACACCTATGAAACAACATAAAAACAACAATATTTAGAATTGAAGCTATTGTCAGAATACACAATTTAATAAAAAAAATATCAAAACAAAAGAGAATAAACAAAAGTTCAATCAATTTTTCGTTAAAGTAAAATAAGCCCTCCTCTTCCACATACAACTAATAACATGAAATCCTATAATTAATGACTAATCCACAAACATAAATAATCAAAAACTAAGAACCAACCAGATGATATAATATTAAAAGCTACCTAAACTCCATTCTCATATACCATTTTTATGGGTGCACCAATATGCACTCAAAAACAAATAAAAAATAAAACCAAAAAAAAATCAAACCAAATAAATGGGAGAAAAAAAAAACAATAAAATTTGTAATAATGCACCTTGAATCTTACTAGGCAAGAAATTGATTTTGTGTTGATCCTCGCCCAAATTCTCTCACTGTAACCCTACCCTTTCTCTCGCCGGAAACCTCTCCCAAATTCTCCGTTGTTTTGCCTTCTCCGGCGACGGCAGGCTCCGGCCAGCAGTCGTCCTCGACTTTGCGACCCATCCTGTCGTTGCTCGCTTCTGATTATGCTGCCTCAGGGGGATTCAGAGAAGTTGTCGCGAAGCTGGGACTGCTTGTTCGGACGGGATCTGCGGCGGGTTCGCTTGTGCAGGCGAGGTCCGCGGCGGGTCGCCATTCTGGTCTTGCGGGGGGTGTTGGTGGTGTCGTCATGCTGGTGTTGTCGATGGAATCGTTGTACTGGTCCAGGCGGGGTCCACAGGCTCGATGGATTGCGGCGTTGGTGGCTCTGGTTCTGCGTCTGGGGTGGTGTTTGGTTGGGGTACGGCAGGTAGGTGGGACGCAGCTCCGGCGGTCTCGATGTTTGGCGTCGGGGCGATCTGAGTAGAGGGGTTGTACCGTCTCCTCATCTTCTTTTTTCCTCTGGTGTTGGGGACGGAGGGGGGCAGGGGCCTCCAAGTTCGGCTAGTGGTGTTAGAAGAGTTCGGGGTGTTCCGGCATTGGGAGCCGGCTGTGGTCCTTCCGGTTGGTGGCGGGTTAGCTTCGGGCTTGATCAAGGGTTTCGGTTCGGCTTTTGTATAGGATTTTAGGCAGTTTCGGAAGCAGTCCCTGGGACTTTAGATCTTGACTGGAGTCGTCTGTTCTCTGCTGATTGGACTCGTTTTGTTTTGCTGGGGAAGGGCTTAGTTGTAGTTTGACTTTGGTTTCGTTTTGTTTTGTTTGTTTCGTGTTGTTTGTGTTTGTGTTGCTCGTGTCTTGTGAAAGGTTTGGGTCGTTGGCCCCTGTGAGCCCGAGTGTCAAATTTATTATCCTGTTGGGATCCGACACTCGGGTAATACTCCGATTGGGGTCTTTTTAGTTGTTTTTTACTCCGATTGGGATCTCTTTAGTTGTTTTAGTTGTTCGTGTTGTTGTTTAGTTTCGTTGGGAGTTTGTATTTCTAGCGTTGCTAGTCGGGATTCTAGGCGGTCTTTTGACCTGTCCTCCCACTTTTCAGCCTTCGGCTGCTTGTATTCGCGCATTTGTGTCTTTTTTATTTATAATAATATCTATCGTTTCGAAAAAAAAGATATGCACCTTTTCATATTTGAATGGCCGATTAGAAGCTTCTAGGGTCGCACACCTACGAGGTCGCCACCATCTTCAAACGTCTCTGACTATGAGAAGCCTCGGGCTAAGTGTTCTCCTAGACCGCTTTCATCCTCAAACCGGACGACTGCAACACATTCATCCCATTCCCTGGCGAATAGTTTCTCGAGGAGTTTTCGACGTTTCTTAAATCTTTCCTTAGCAATACAATTTTTTGGGATGAATTTCTTGTTCTAACCATAAAAATAAAATGAAGATTGAAGAAGAAAAAAGAAACAATCAATAAAACAAGGAAATTGAAGAACACAATAAACAAATTAATAGAATCTAAAGAGAGGTGGGGTATTCCCTGAAAATATCAAGATAAATCAAAAGATGTGCGGTTACAAAAACTAAAATAAAAAATAGAAAAAGCCATATTTTTAAAAACTCTAAAACGTCCAAAAAAAGGAGTATAATTAAAAACAGAAGGACTCATTTTGTCTAAATAATGAGATAGAGAGTTATGTAAACTATCTTTAACAAAGAGAGAGGGGTGTCAATTATTCTACCATTAAGCATGGAGCTCTTACATAATGGGCCTCATATTCACCCGTTTCATAGTTCAACTGCCCAGGTCCACATGCCCAAAGCCCACTAACGCATCAGCCTGTCACTACTTTCCACGTTCCTTCCTTTTTACTTCGCATTTTTCTTCATTTTTGTCGGAAAATAATCGCTGTTTTGTTTGGGCAGCACGCATATTCCATCCATATAAATAATACTATCCATTATATTTTCCATAATTCTTTATCTCCTCCGATAAATCACCGGCGTAAAGAATCTATCTGCTGCGATCTTATCAGATTTGAAAGAGCTAGGGTTTTGATTCTCTCCGTTGTTGCTCAGGTGATTTTCGCCATTGCCTTTATGTTCTCGAGGTGTTTGTACTGCGATTTACTTGTTTTATTTCGTTGATGAATGTTATATCGCTGAAAGAAACTTAGGGTTGAAGGTGTTTTGATGATCTTGCCTTGTTCCGTTTCGTTTTTTAATTTTTATTTTTTAACCTATTCGATAGATTTGTGTTTTTGAATTGTTCGTTGTCGAAGATTGGGATTTCATTCGTTTTCCAGGAATTGAAGGTTCGATAGTCTGATATTGATTCTGTTCAGTTTTCCGATTGATGAAATTGTGTTCTCTGATTTGATGAAATTGTGGTAGTCATCGCAAGTAGAAATTAGGGTTGGTGTATCAATCTAGTAATCGGTCTTGGACTCTTGATAATTTTGCTCTTTATTTTTTCTTTGTTTCCTTTTTCATTTAAAGAATCGATTGTGGATTGATGTTTTCGTGAAGTTTTCTGATGAACGTTCTTTTATTCTCTGCAATTTTAGTTGCTGGAGCTTGGGGTTCATCTGTTTCCTTTGTTCACTCCCCGGGACGGATAGTTGCTCCGGTAGCCTTGAATCTGCTGATCAGAACATGAGCCTTTCAGAACAAAACAATACGAGGAGGGAAAACAGTAGCCAACGGCCCAGGAACAATAATTATTCGCGGAACAATCGTCGTGAGTGGGTCCCACGCGGATCCGCGCCTGCTCCACATACGTTAGTTCCAGCAGCTAGTGCAGATGTTCCGATTCAGAATGACACTGGAAATGGTGCCGATCCGATCAACAGGCCAGTCAGGCCCAATGTTCCCATGTGGAACAGGAACCCCGGTGGATCGAGAGGCAATCCAACCCGGTTCGCAAACCGAAGAGGGAAAGAGAGGGAGGATAAGGGGAAGTTCAATCGTGACGAGAATCCCAAGACGTCGAAGGGTGCTAACATACCCCAGCTCGTGCAGGAAATTCAGGACAAGCTCTTGAAGGGTTCGGTTGAGTGCATGATTTGCTACGACATGGTTAGAAGGTCTGCCCCCATTTGGTCGTGCTCCAGCTGTTACTCAATTTTCCATCTGAGCTGCACCAAGAAATGGGCTAAGGCCCCAACTTCTATTGATTTGCTGGCCGAGAAGAATCAAGGTTCTAACTGGCGCTGCCCAGGATGCCAGTCCGTGCAACTTATGTCGGCGAAGGAGATTCGATACATGTGCTTTTGCGGGAAAAGGCCGGATCCGCCTTCCGATTTGTATTTGACACCACATTCTTGTGGGGAGCCCTGCGGAAAGCATTTGGAAAGGGTGATTCCTGGCAGCGACATGAGTAGTGAGGATATCTGTCCTCATGTCTGTGTTTTGCAGTGCCATCCAGGCCCTTGTCCACCTTGCAAGGCATTTGCTCCCCCACGCAATTGCCCTTGTGGGAAAAAGGTTATTACCACGCGATGTTCCGACCGAATGTCGGTTCTTACATGTGGGCAGGCATGTGATAAGCTTCTCGACTGTGGGCGGCATCGTTGTGAGAGGGTCTGCCATGTGGGTCCGTGTGATCCTTGTGAGGTTCTCGTCAATGCTTCCTGTTTTTGTAAGAAGAAGGTTGAGGTAGTTCTCTGCGGGGATATGACTGTGAAGGGGAAAGTGGAGGGGGACAGTGGCGTGTTCTCGTGCGGTTCTGTCTGCGAGAACAAACTCGACTGTGGTAATCATGTCTGCCAAGAGATGTGCCATCCAGGCTCATGCGGCGAATGCGAATTATTGCCGACAAGGATCAAGACTTGCTGCTGTGGTAAGACGAACTTGACCGAGGATAGACAAAGCTGTTTGGATCCAATCCCTACTTGTTCGAAGATTTGCCAAAAAATCCTCCCTTGTGGTTTGCATCGTTGTGAGAACGTCTGCCATTCCGGGACTTGCCCGCCGTGTCATGTGCTCGTCGCCCAAAAATGCCGCTGTGGGTCCACTTCCCGAACCGTAGAGTGCTACAGAACCGTCATGGAAGAAGGAACATTCACCTGTGACAAGCCCTGCGGTCACAAGAAGAACTGTGGGAGGCACCGTTGCAGTGAGCGTTGCTGCCCGCGCTACAATTCCTCCTCTGGCCAGCCCTCGGCAGAATGGGACCCACACCTATGCTCGATGCCATGCGAGAAGAAGCTAAGGTGCGGGCAGCATTCCTGCACCTCATTGTGCCACAGCGGCCACTGTCCTCCATGTCTGGAAACAATTTTCACTGACCTGACGTGCGCCTGCGGTCGAACCTCTATCCCACCCCCTCTGCCATGTGGCACCCCCCGGCCCTCCTGCCAGCACCCATGCTCGGTACCCCAGCCGTGTGGCCACTCATCTTCCCACAGCTGCCATTTCGGGTACTGCCCTCCGTGCTCAGTTCCTATTGCCAAGGAGTGTGTGGGCGGGCACGTGGTGCTCCGTAACATCCCTTGCGGGTCCAAGGACATCAGGTGCAACAAGTTGTGCGGGAAAACGAGGCAGTGCGGGCTGCACGCATGCTCTAGGACCTGCCACCCGGGCCCATGTGGTTCCTCCTCCACCCCTGACCCGGTTGGCACTAGGATGTCATGTGGGCAGACTTGCGGGGCCCCCAGGAGAGACTGCAGGCACACGTGCACAGCCCCCTGCCACCCCCTGTCCCCGTGCCCAGACACGAGGTGCGAGTTCCCTGTCACCATTTCCTGTTCCTGTGGCCGGATGACAGCGGCCGTTTCCTGTGGGGCTGGAGGAGTTACCACCGATGGGTATAGTAACGTTGACAGCTTTCTGGAAGCTTCCATAGTTCAGAAGCTTCCTGCGCGTCTCGAGGAGAATGGGCAGAAAGTGCCGCTCAGCCAGCGGCGTCTCGTGTGTGACGACGAGTGCACGAAGATGGAGCGGAAGAAGGTTCTGGCGGATGCCTTTGGCGTGGGCCAACCGAGCCTGGACGTGCTCCACTTTGGGGAAACTGCATTGGTCTCGGAGGTGATATCGGACCTTCTCAGGCGGGACCCAAAGTGGGTGCTGGCGGTGGAGGAGAGGTGTAGGCAGCTGGTCTTAGGGAAAAGCAGGGGTGGGTTAAACGCTCTCAAGGTGCACGTTTTCTGTCCGATGCCCAAGGAGAAGAGGGACGCCTTGCGGCTGATAGCAGAGAGGTGGAAGCTGTCGGTCAGCTCGGCTGGGTGGGAGCCGAAGAGATTTGTGGTGGCTCACGTCACTCCCAAATCAAAAGCCCCATCCCGTATCCTTGGTTTCAACAAGTCATCCGGCCCAGCTGGAAATATGCTGCAGCCACCAGTTTTTGACCCCCAACTGGACATGGACCCACGCCTCGTTGTTGCTTTATTTGATTTGCCTCGGGATGCAGATGTGAGTGCACTTGTTTTGAGATTTGGTGGGGAGTGTGAGTTGGTTTGGCTGAACGATAAAAATGCTCTGGCAGTTTTTGGGGACCCGGCCCGTGCGGCTACTGCTATGAGGAGATTGGATCAGGGGTCCGTTTACCATGGAGCCGTTGTTGTGGTTGCTCAAAATAGCGGGGGTTCTGTGGGTGTGAGCTCGGGTGGGGCTCTGAAGGGTAATAATCCGTGGAAGAAGGTGGTTATGCAGGACTCGAGCTGGAAGGAGGGTAGTAGTAGTAGTTCGTGGGGGCCTGAGGATTTGTCGAAATCTTCTGGGGATGCTAGTGGTGGGCCTAATTCGAAGGAGAAAGAGGGTTTGGGTGTGGGCTCAGGCAACAGGTGGAGTGTTTTGGTGTCGGGAAGCATTTCCAGGTCGATCGATGGTGCTTCTGTGAAAACCGAGAATTTTCAGAACAGGACAGCTGATGATAAGATGATAACGGGCTCTGGTGGGTTGGAAGAATCTGGTTTGAATTCGGTGGTGAATCGGGCAGGTTCAAGCAAGGACACTGTAGTGGATGATTGGGAGCAAGCCTATGTAGATTGAAAGTTTCGGATGAAGGAGATAGTCATTCTACCATGATATTTTTTTTTTTTAGACGGTTGTGTTCTGTTTTCTGCTAATGTTGCGGGGAATCTCTTTGTCATGCAGACTTGTTGATTGTTAACTCTTTTGCAATATTGTTGGCAAGGAGGGAATATTTGTTATGTTCCTCTCATGCTTCCTATACTTGATGGTATTTTATGGTATTTTATTTTATCGTCTCTCGGTTCATAAAAAATTTGATTAGGAGGATGATTGTTTGATTAGGTATCCTAAGTTTGTTTTTGGTGATTATATGTCTGTTTATGTTGAGAAGAAGTTTCTTCCAAAGGAGCCTAGGTTTGAGGTAGTGAAAGGGAGAAAAATAGAAGATTGTGATTTTTTTTTTTTTTTTTTTTTTGTAATATGTTTTAGTGTGTGTTACTTTTATTTTAATGTGTGGGTTTGTGTGAATTTGTGAAAAAAAAATGCTATGTTTTGGCACATGTGTGTTTCAGAACGCGCTGAGCCTACGTGGCTTCTTCTGGTGCTTTGGAATCCTATGTGGCGAAATTATTCGTTATTAGGCTTGGGTAAATTTTAATTTAATTTAATTGGTTATTTATGGTAACCTTTAACATATGTTACATGTATTAATTATATTTCAATATCATTCCTTATTATAACTATTGAATTGTATATATATGTTAAAGGTTAATAACTTTTGTATTTTTTATCAGTTTTATATATGTAATATATCAAATTAATCGTCTTTTGATGAGCTTCGATTTAACATCCATATTGTATGTATAAAAAAAATAATTTATATTTATCTTTATAACAATAATAAAATTATTTTTAATATTAATTAGAAAAATAAAATTATTTATCACCTAATATATTTATATTTCAAGTAGTTATATGATATAAATTATAAAAACTAATATAATATAACACATGTAAGTCATAAGTAACACATATCATTCTAAAATATAGAGTAATATATTTTTTTTTGTAAAAAAGTAAACTAGATTTTTATAGTTTTCTCATTAATTTTAAAATTTAAGAATAATTTTTTAACAAGTACCCGTGTAATACACGGGTGTTGTACTAGTATTTAGTTAATTAATCATTTGGTGTAGATATTGATTTACCTTTCTTGTTGACTTCATAATGTACCTTTTCTAAGTAGCCTAACAAAATAAGGAAAAATAAAAAAACGATCTTCAAACCCAAAGAATTAATTTAAAATTTTCAATACAATCTATATATTTTACAAATTTTGCACATTAGACCATAGTATTAGTTTAAATTTGATTGGAAAAACATGTAATAAAATTAATGATAAATTTCAATAATTCGTATTCATAAAAGATAATGAAAAGAAATATTTGTTATACACACCAAAATATTTAATAAACACACAAAATACACTTTCGTTGTTTTTCAATATGTAGCACTAATTTTCTAATATTTTAATGGTTATTTTATAAATTTTTGAATTTTATATTCCTATTTAATATTAAAATTATTTTTATAAATATCTAATATTTAAAATAATTACAAATGTTAAAATATTTTTAGGAATATCATATTATTTGAATTTATTACAAATGTTAAAATACTTTAGGAATATCATATTATTTGAATTTATTACAAATGTTTATTAGAGTTTCCTTATTATTATAGATAATTTCCTTAAAATATTTGTATTAATATTTTTCTTTTTTGTAGATAATTCACTTCCAAATATTTGTATGACTACTAGGTGAAAGTTCCATGCAAATGTACAATCTCCTACTACCATAAGTCTCCACCAAATATTCAAGCACACCATGGAAGAACAAGTTTGAAGACTTCATCAATGGCAAGCTTCATACTACCTTCTCTTTTCACACTATTTTTCCACAATGGTGTGCTAATTCATGCCTATAAATAGGCTTGTTATTTCATTCATTGAAATCATCCTTGAGTGATCAATCAACCTAGAGAGTGTTAAAACACAACCAAGAAAGAGTTGTGAAGTGTTTGAGAGTTTTTTGTTTAGAGTTTGTAAATCTCTTGTTTTTATTCTTGTGAGTAATAGAAACGTGTTTTTCTCTCAAATATGTTTATGATCTTGGGATGATACCAC